AGATTATTTTGGAGCTGTTTTTGTAAGCAAATAAAACTCTTTTGTTTTGAAAGTGATTCATTTTTATTAGTTTACAACATATGGTGCATCATGCCTGATGACAGTGAAAGTAGTGGTCTTGTACACTCACAACCCACAGGCTCAGTGCCAAACAGTGTAATTGTCACAAATGTACAGTAAGCACCCCAACATTTATAGGTGTACTGTCAGTGATATATGCACAGATGTGCAGCAAGCACCACACAGTTCCTAACACGCCCCCAAACTGCAGCGCCAGGTTGAGCACACAGTGGCTCGTTGTTAGAGTGCTCTTTCAAAGCCTCCCTAAGCCATGGAGCTCCTTGTTGAGCTTGTCTGATCGCCCTTGAGTTGGAATGTTCAAACTCAGCAGAAAGCCGCTCCACCTCTGCCCTCCACCCTTGCAGCAATTTCCCCCCCTTTTCTACACAAATATGCAGGACACAACAGGCAGCTATAACCATTGGAATATTTCTCACACCGAGATCCAATATGGTGAGTAAACAACATCAACGCCCTTTTAATCTACCAAAAGCACATTCAACTGTCATTCTGCACCTGCTGAACCTGTAGTTCAGGGGTGGGAAAACTTTTTGGCCTGAGGGCCACATCGGGGTATGAAACTGTATGGAGGGCCAGGTAGGGAAGGCTGTGCCTCTCCAAACAGCTTGGCCCTGGTCCCCTATCTGCCCCCTCCCACTTCCTGCCCCCTGACTGCCCCCCTGAGAAGCACCGACCCTCCAACCCCCCCTTCTCCTTGTCCCCTGACTGCCCCCACCCAGGACCCCCCACCCCTTACTCTCCCCTGGGACCTCACCCCTATCAGTGATTGGTAAAAGCGGAGCACAGTGATAATACCTCACAAATTATGTAAGCTGGGTCTGAAGTTAAGAGATAATAACTCCACTTATACTTTTATAGAAAGCCCCGTTCTTAATGGGCCAAATTTTCCAAATGGTGAGTGGCTGACTTGCATGCACTAAACTCCTGATGTGGGCATGCTAGTGAGGTTTATGAGCTCAGTGCCCATCTTGCACATCTCTGGGCATGCAAACTGGATGTGGGGGTGGGGCGGAGGAATGGGGAGGGACTGTATCTTTGTAAGTCTATCACACTGCATTTTTCTCTTAAAAAATAAGATAAACCAAAATCAAACACTTTTGGACGTTAGACCAAACACAGGAAATAAAGAGTTTACTCTGAAGCCAATGACTAAAGACTAAATTAAAGCTTACTTTGGCAGATAATTTACACTGGCCATTTGGGAGGGGCAGAGAAATTGTTCAAACAGAAGGAAGAATAGGAAGAACTTGCTTGTTTTGGCTACTTTCTCCCATTTTTCCATTCTCTGTCCCATTTTTTTTTCTTCTTCTCTTGTGTGTAACACCCACAGATTTCCTAATGAGACGACCCACCGCGCACTACTGTGTGGGTGTAAATGAAAGAGCTGTGTAAATTAACAAGTAACTTGCACAGATATTTTACTTATGTGCCACAAAAAGGGAAGGCAATATAAACCTCCATAATATCAGACAGAGAAATCTGTTAGCTGATGATTTTCTCCTTGAAGTATCCAAGGTGGCCATTTTAACAATGGATTCCCCTCTGCTCCGTAGCCCTAAGAGGCAGGTCCAGACTGCCAATCAAAGAAAGGTAGCTTGGCTCCCACTTCTGGGGAAATCCCCAATTATAACATTTTTCAGCTTCAGAAGCTGTTTAGGAACGTCTATTAACCTGATTACAACACAACATGAACTTTCCCTGAAATAAAAAATATACAGATAAATGTGCAAAACCAGTCTGTTATGACACTAAGGACTGTTCAGATTGTAAAGTATTCATTTCCTGGATCTTGTGTGCAGTGACTTATTCTGAAGGGCTGCAGTTCCTTTCTGAAGAAGCCAAAGATACAATATTTTTATCATCTATTAACTAAAGCTTTTATTGCCTTGTTTAAGTGCTAGTAACTGGTAAAGTGTAAAAGTTACCGGGCTGTGGATCTTCTGAATAGCGCTCTCCTTATGAGATGGGTTCTGATTGCCCTCGTGAACATTCACACATGCCCTTGTTTCTTTCCCAGGTGTATTGGCTTAGTGAAGAACATATGAATGCTGGACTCAAGCAAAGGACTTCATTTTCACAAAGTGCTAGATGGAGGCGCCACAGACAGAGCTCCAAACTCAAATGTTTAAGGCAGAGAAGGGCGTAAAAAGATGGCTTGGTAAGGACATTCAACATCAAGTCGAGTTTCCATGGTGCAAACCTGTGGAATTTTCTTTTTTTACATTTATTTATTTTCCATCTATCATTAATTTAGTGGCAATTAATCCAGCAAGGTGAATGGGATGATAGTTCTGGCAAATCCAAAATCCAGAGCCTCCAGGTTTAGAATGGAGTCATTCATGTTACTGATGACTTCTTTATCAGGGGAAATGTAGACAAGACACATAGATGATCAGTTTGCCAGGGCTAGAACAGTGTGTCAGTTTCTAATTAAAAGGTTGCTTTATATTAACACCTCACAAATGCGTCAGCCTTTCAGGCTTCATATATACTCTCAGATTAACAAATTATACAAGATACCTGCCTACACATCTGAGAACAATTAAATTTATTTTCACACAATTACTTTTAAATACACTTTATTCAGATAGTTAACCTTTTTAAAAAAATATATAAAAAATGTTTCTCAGTGGGAAAAGACATTCCTTAGCAGGATTTTTTTTTTAAATGGTATCCGTTTCTTTTTTCATAAGAAAATTCCATTTGTTTTCTCAAAACCAGAAATATAAGAGGATCTAAAAGTTCACATGCTTTATAAACATTGCACAGTTCACTCTTTTAGGGGGATAAGTTAAGGTTCCCAACTTGCAGGAAAGGCTTTTAAAAAAATCTTTACTGGCCTCCGGCACTTTCTACTCATATTCTATTTTGTACTTGTGGGAAAAAAATAGTCATGTCATAGCAAGCTAGTTCCCATGTATTCCTAACATATTTTTATAAGGCTTCTACAATCATTTGCTGCCCTAATGAGCCACCAAAACAGTGTTTAATCTTTGCTGTGCTTAATAAAAATATATGTTCATATTAATATTCATAACAGTAATTGCACTGGTACTGCAAATAGGGAGGAACTGGTTGAGAATTTGAAAGTGGAGGGCAGCTTGGGTGAGAAGTGATCACAAAATGGTAGAGTTCATGATTCTAAGGAATGGGAGAAGGGAAAACAGCACAATAGAGACATGGATTTCAAGAAGGCAGACTTTAGCAAACTCAGGGAGTTGGTAGGTAAGATCCCATAGGAAGCAAGTCAAAGGGAAAAAACAGTTCAAGAGAGTTGGCAGTTTTTCAAAGAGACATTATTAAGGGCATAAGAGCAAACTATCCCACTGTGTAGGAAAGATAGGAAGTACGGCAAGAGACCACCCTGGCTTAACCAGGAGATCTTCAATGATCTGAAACTCAAAAAATAGTCCTACAAAAAGTGGAAAATAGGTCAAACGACAAAGGAGGAATATAAACAAATAACACAGTCATGTATGGACAAAATTAGAAAGGCCAAGGCACAAAACTAGATTAAAGTAGCTAGAGACATAAAGGGTAACAAGAAAACATTCTACAAATACATTAGAAGCAAGAGGAAGACCAAGGACAGGGTTGGCCCATTATTCAATGGGGGGGGGGGGAAGAGGAGGAAATAGTAACAGAAAATGTGAAAATGGCAGGAGTGCTAAATGACTTTTTTTCACCGGTTTTCACCAAAAAGGTTAGTAGCGATTGGACATCTAACATAGTGAATGCCAGTGAAAATGAGGTAGGATCAGAGGCTAAAATTGGGAAAGAACAAGTTAAAAATTACTTAGACAAGTTAGATGTCTTCAAGTTACCAGGGCCCGATGAAATACGTCCTAGAATACTCAAGGAGCTGACTGAGGAGATATGTCAGCCATTAATGATTATATTTGAAAAGTCATTTAAGACGGGAGAGATTCCAGAGGACTGGAAAAGGGAAATATAATAGCAGTCTATAAAAAGGGTAATAAGGACAATCCGGGGAATTACAAACCAGTCAGCTTAACTTCAGTACCTGGAAAGATAATGGAGCAAATAATTAAGCAATCAAGAAAGGGAAGGGAAACTACCAAGTAGTTTATGCCCTAAAACAGTTCTACAGACTCAGACCTGAATAAAAAGTATTTTCAGATACTAAAAACAGTTATTTTAAAACTTCACCTTTTTTTTCCCCTGCAATAAAACCTAGCAACAATATCCAGCTTAAATAAATGGCATTCCTATTTTGTTGTGTTTCTGCATACGATTAGCTAAACAGAAAAGGAGTACTTGTGGCACCTTAGAGACTAACCAATTTATTTGAGCATAAGCTTTCGTGAGCTACAGCTCACTGCATCCGATGAAGTGAGCTGTAGCTCACAAAAGCTTATGCTCAAATAAATTGGTTAGTCTCTAAGGTGCCACAAGTACTCCTTTTCTTTTTGCAAATACAGACTAACATGGCTGTTACTCTGAAACCTGATTAGCTAAACAGGATCACAACTTAACCCTGCTACCAAGCTGTGGTTACACGCCGATTAAATGACGACCAATTCTAATCACAACAAAACATGGTAGGTGAAATATACCTATTTGTCATACAGAACATTTTTTAAAAAGGATTTAAATCTCTATGCTTTGTAATTTTGGCGTCAGATGAAATCATATAACATGTATCTGTATGTGAGTGTATACAGAGAGAGAGAGAGAGAGTCTCACTTAAGAACTTTTACGTATAAAGAATATACATTCTTATATAGGAAAAACAATATATATATTTTTACATGTAAAATCACTTAAGTTAGACACTAGGCTCACTGGATTTCCTGGTAGGGACTATGTCATTTATAGTAATCAAAAATATAATAAAAATAATTTCTACCATTTAAAATTTTATTTACAATCTTTAAAATTATTGTACTTGACCCTACCTTTTAGGAACAAGGGAATGGCTTGTGTGCATTCCGTGTGTTTCCACTGGCCACGGTGTTTACGAGCTTCTAAGTAGTGCTTGACTCTTGAATCAATAGTGTCTTTTAGCAGCAAGCACAGTTCCTGAAATAGAATTCAGTTACAAATTTATGTCTAAATCGATACATCCTTAAAAATTAATATCAAAGCACTCAAAAATGTATGCAGAAACCCATTCTATGCAATTGTGCATTGTCATATTTTAAGGACTATTGAAAGTATAAATAAATGTTTTTAACATTAAAACGGCAACAAGGGTTGGAAAAAGAATTAGACTCTTTAGATATACATTTTGAAAAATGAAAGAGGAAGAAATCACTAAATTACAGTATTATGGTTATGGTCAATTATGACAAATTGCATGGCTCAGTAATTTCCCTAATCAATTTTACTGTGAAAATTCGCATTAACTAGATACATGAAATAAACATAACATGACATTAATATCACAAAAAGTAACATCACTTATACTTTTGAATAGAAATTACAATATTTTATTCAGGCAAAGTTAATAAATGATATATTTTAAAATGGAATCTACCATGAGAAAATTCATTATAACAGGGAGGTGTGGTAGGGGGAATCTCCCAGGAATTTGTAATGTCCTAATTTCTCTTCTAGGATCCTTGTAAACAAGACCAAACTATTTTGGTTCAGTTCCAGGAGATACTTTAGGGAAGGCTAGAAGTTGAGTAGGTCACAGAAAACTAGTTTCACTGATTTACTTAGAATTTATTCCTAAATTTAACTGATTACACCTTGAAAACTTATTTAAACACATACCACATACATACAAACACACACCATTCAAAAGCGCCTGAGCAAAAGCTTAGGTACAGGAAGCACTTGAATAAAATAAAGACTTCATCTCAACAGTACTTTGAACAAATTCTCAGTTGACTGTATATGGACTCGTTTTGGCCTTTCTCTCAATATTCCCATTTTCCATTGCACAGTATCTTGTCAAAGAACTGATGTTTTGTTGGACACTGAGATATAATTTTACATTTAAAATTTTTCAGTGTTCAGACAGATGAAAAATGAAATGAGTACTCTTTAAATTAAAGACTTTTGCTTCACATGTAGGGGTTAGCTATGACTAATCTAGAAAATATGCAGAATAGACACATGAAAACAGATTATCTAAACACAGGTATAAATGATTAAGTCTCAAAATAATGTACTATATGTATATCAATGATCCATGCACACTATTTTCTCCTTAATGTTAGAATGAAGTTTTCATTTTAATGACAGTGCACACAAAGTGTGGGTTCTTACTATCTATTCTGCTGTTTACCTCATCAAAGTAACCTCATTGCACATTCTCCGATCAAAAAAAATATTTTTAATTAAAAAACCCCCCAGGAAGTAGCTGAAACATCAGATGCATTTGGTTCCTTTTGCAATAATAAAGATTAATATAAACTTCCTTACATTTATATTCAAAATATTTCTTTTAGCTGTTATGTTTATGAAGAGATTACTGGAATAGAACTTAAAATAAACATAAACATACCTTTTAAAAATGTAAACTGGCGCTTTTAACAAAGAAAATTAATATCCCTCTTTTTCCCTTATAAAATGGAATTGTGAACTCAACTGATCTTGTTAATGAGGCATTATAGCTACACACATATAGCACAGCAATGAAACTAATGCAACAAACTCATCAGAATACAAAATTGTTGTTAAAATATAAAACCAGATCTTCTACTCCATTACCCCTGGGGAGAGGTTGAGAAGGGCAGAAAAGCAGATGAAGTTACTCAAATTCATCAAACGAAGGGCAACTGAGTCAATTCAGCAGCATTCTCCCTCCCCAACCACCATGAATACCCTACACACAACTTCTGTGTTAGTGGTGTTCAACCTGGGGTCCTCAAGGCTCTAAACTGGACACCAAGTGTGATTGTGTTAAGAAGAAAATTTGTATCTGATTACAAACTGAAAATATGTCTTTTACTAGAGGTTCCCCTCAGCCCAGGCATGGACACTAGAGCTCCCATCCTGCTCTCCACTGACTCAGTTAGTGAAGCAGATGCTGGAGCAACCAGTCTCTCTCCTCCTTCTACCAAGGCAGCATGGTGCCAACGGAGGAGCAGCTACAAAAGGAAAGGGCCAGGAATGCAGTATCATTCCCCTGCAAACTCATACGTAATTTCCTAAGTAATAGCTTTCCAGAGTGTCCCAACCCAAACTGTCAGCAGCTCACTGGATTGTGGTCCTGGGGCAATCAGAGAACCAATCAGAGACTTGGATTGCTATGGGGCAGGGAGTAGCCTGCACATCTCATAGTTCTACAGAGACCCTAGAGCACAGAGGAGCTGTTGTGATAACTGGGCCTACTCTAACTGAGCACAACTGTAAAAAGTGAGTGAAAGTTCATAAGATGTCACAATAACCTATAAACAATAAATGTTGATGGGAAAAGGTAAAAGGAAGGACCCCCCCACCCCCTGAATTAGTCCAAACAAAAATGCCTACTGATTGAACACCATGTATAAAGATCATGCCTGGTAAACAAGAAGAGTGTGGGCCTGGAAATTAATGAACTAAAAATTGGTGTTTCAGAAATTAGGCGTAATTAGTGGACAAAATAATGAGGGGATGAGCTATTCTTCCCATCACTCCCTATTGGGGGCCTCAAAAAGTGACTGGCTACCGGCGATGCTGGCTGACTGAAAGAAGGGGACGGAGCAAGATTCACCATCATGGCTGCCACCCTCACAATCTCCTGGGACTCTGGACCTACTTCATCCTAATCCTGAAAGATGCCCTAACCAAACTGGGTAAGAGACAGAGGGAGCCAGAGGACATCATCATTGCCACTGGCACCTTCTAAATCCCGAACACCACCTAGGATGTGACCCTTTGTCCCCCATCACCCATGTCTTCTTTTCCTTCCCTATCTCATTTCTTCTCTCTCCTATCGCTCTTCTTTTTTTTTTCTTCTGCCTAATAAGAGGCTGGCTTAAAACTGTCTGCCAAAACTGTCTTTATTTTGCAACACTGCTATAAGTATGTGACCAGAAAGGCAGCTAAAAGCAATGTCCTAAACAGCCTGATGTTGGTATGAGTTTTCCAGGTCTCAGAGTGGCCAACAAGACTGTGTGGTATGCCTGTGTTTTTCTAGCACTGAGGTTGCAAGTGAGAGTCAACAACAGAGACAGAAGCTGCTTTTTCTATCTTTGCTATTCTTTTCTTTCCCGTTTTGTGTGTGTTTGTCTTGTTTTGCCCTCTAGAAAATGGGACTGGACTTTAACAACAGAAACAAATGACAGCCCCAGCCCATCTCAACTACCTTCTTGTCTTTTCCCCAAAAGGACAGTTACAGCCATCTTTACTGCCATCTAGGAGACTGCCAGACAAAGGGGGTTTCTTTCTAAAAACTCTCTCCAGCGACTGGGAAAGGGAATAAGGGATGTTGTTAAAATAAATGCCTTATTTAATATTTTACATTTCAAATGCTTAAATGTTTTAACCTTTTCTTTTCCCCCTTGTATCTTTAATCAAAGGTTAAAAAAAGGATTATTAATGATATATTTGCCATGGAACTAGGCAGGCTGAGGTGTCTGTAAACCAAACCAAACGGTTGTTTAACACTGTTTAATGGTGGACAGTGGCAGGGTCAGGTTAACACCTTTAACTTTTTGAGCCTTTTATTCCACCTAAATCAGTGGTCAGCAACCAGTCAATCACGATCGACTGGTTGATCCTGGAGACTCTCCCAGTTGATCGCGATCTCCAGCTGCGGTGGTGTAGTGGGGCTGCCGCTAAGGCAGGCTTCCTACCTGTCGCGGCCCCATGCCACTCCCGGAAGCAGCCAGGACACCCCTCCAGACCCAGGGGCAGGAGGGGTCTCCGCACGCTGCTCCTGCCTGCAAGCACCGCCCCCCCAAAGCTCCCATTGGCTGGGAACGGGGGTGGTGCCTGCAGAGAGGGGCAGTGAGCGGAGCCATGTGTTCCCCCCACGTGTTCCCCCCAGGGAGCCTGCCTTAGCCCCACTGCACCGCTGCCTGGGAGCCGCCCAAGGTAAGTGCCCCTGGGGGAAGCCCGCACCGCAACCCCCAGCCCTGAGCCCCCTCCCGGAGCCAGCACCCCATACACCCTCCTGCATCCTGAACCCCCTCCTGCACCCCAAGCCCCTGCCCCAGCCCTGAGCCCCCTCCTAGAGCCAGCACCCCAACCCTCTCCTGCAGTCCAACACTCTGCCCCAGCCCGGAGCCCCCTCCTGGACCCAAAATCCCTCCCAGAGCTTGCACCCCTCACCCCCCTCCTGCACCCAAATCCCCTGCCCCAGGCTCAGCCCGGAGCCCCCTCCCAGAGCCTGCACCCCTTCCCAAACCCCAACCCTCTACCCCAGCCTAGTGAAAGTGAGTGAGGGTGGGGGAGAGCAAGCGACGGAGAGGGGGGAATTGAGTGGGTGGGGCGGGGCCTTGGGGAAGGGGCAGGGCCTTGGGGAAGAGGCGGGGTAGAGCCTGGGTTGCACTTAAATTCAAAAAGTGATCTTGTGTGTAAATAGGTTGGAGACCTCTGATCTAAATTAATACAACAGGGTCTTCCCCGTTCGTGGTTCTGCAGAGTCCGGAAAAGGCTAGCAGGCAAGCCCTACCCTTCCTTTAAATAAAGTGATTAGTAGAAAATTGTGTGGGTTGAAAACTGAAAAGCTCCCAGGCCCTGCACCAAGTTTTTCCACATGGTGTATGATTTTGACTATGGTTTCTTATTAATTGTTTCCCTTCCCACCTTATTATATCAACACAAAATCTCAATAAGGCTTTTAAGGCATATACTGTTGAACTATTATAATCACATTTCTCAGCTGGTGAAGACACTCGACCCTTGTGCTTTACTCAAAGTGTGAGGTCACAGACAAGTATCAAACACCCTGTTGTGCCTCATTATTAAATCCAATTTCCTGAAATTCACATCTTATATTTTGGCAGTCACACAAAATACTTTTTTAAAAGATTGGGAAGTCAGATAAACTGGGACAGTAAAATCAGTTACAAACAGAAGCTTTGACGATTCATTTACTCAGAAGCAAATTTTAAAGACTTTTCCTATAAACTTCTCTCTGGTTTTTAAGGCACGGATCAGTTGAATCATACTGCTAAATATTCTGCTAAATAACAAACTATTACGCCTTTTGATTTTACACTACTGGAGCAAAATATTTTGTGAGAAGTATTGGGATGTTCCGTGATGACAAGTCAATTATGTCATTATTAGGAAAGCAGTCTGCTGAAAAGTACCATAACAGAGACTTGCGGGAAAGGACTGGCACTTGAGGCAACTTACATGTCTCACATTCATTTTAATAGGAGACTCAAGTTCCCACAATAGCCTATAATGGAGGAAAAAATTCATCCAGTAAATTGTTACTAGAAATCACACAAAATGTCATGAAAGGTACAAACTTCATGTCCTTGGTCACTGATGCAGATTACAGTAATTTTGCAACATTTCATCTATGGTCCTAAACCTAGTTCCTGTTTGGAATTCTAATGGACCTTTGAAGAATAAGGCTGGATTTTCTTTTTACAAGAGATAAAAGATCTGCTGATACTATAGCCTGCATACCAAGAAAACAGTTTCTTGCACTTGTTATACTCTTGCTGCAACACTCATATTTCTGAGAGCAAGAAAAAAATAAACAATTAATAAAAAGACATTTGACAGGAACTGTAGAAAAGGACAGTATACATCTTATATAATCTTCATTTTATTAATCATTTTCTTAGCTTAAGATAATCACGCATACTCACTACAAGTACGTGTTTACATTATGTTTATAAATCTAAAAATTATCCAAGTGAGAAGTGTCACAATAGCACACAGAAAAAAGTTTAATATTTAAAAGCAGTCGCTTAGTGACCTGAGGGGAGATAACACACATCACAGGCCTCGTAGTCCCAAAGGAGTTGTTCAGGGTTAGGTATAACTCACAATACTGATACATCACAGTACTGAGAAGAAAATCTGAACAGTTCAATGCAATCCAACTTTTTCCCTGCAGCTACATGCTTTTGAAGTAGAAGTGATTTTGTTGTACCTCCTTCTCATGATCTGAAAACCAGCTGGAGTCTCTACTGGAGCCTTGAGGCAAAATATGAAAATCCACTAGGACAGCAAAGTTCCCACACTGGAAAAAAAAATACAAAGGAAAGAAAGAAAAGTTAAGTAGCAGTTGTTGTTGTGAGGCACATATCCAGCAGACAAGGAAATAAACAGTCAAGTGATCAGAGTCAGAGATGCAGTAGCCACAATTAAAGTCTGAGAGGTTTTTTTTTACCTTTTTAAAGAAACATTTCATTTTTAGATATGGAATTTCCAGTTATAACAGGCATTCCACATATTTAAAATGGGAAACTGCTATAAACAATAACATGTTGCTTATTATAACATACCAAATAACAGATATTGCTACTTGTTAGATGTACCAAGTATAAGCACTCAGATCCTTGAGGATGTGCTAGTCACAGATCCACATTTAAGGCTGAGTTGCATTTTGCACATAACTAAGACGTTGACTCCTCACTTTATCTATGAAAAAGACAGCATATCCTCCCCAAATTTGAAGCACTTACTCTATTGAATTAATTTTCGGAGACACTACAATTATTTTAGAGGTTAAAATTAATTTTAAAATGCGTCCCTTAAAAACAATTAGCAACTGTATCAGTCTTCTGTTTGTCCTACATTATCTTAATAACAGAATAATACACTCTTTAAACGTTCCATATATTTAACATTAATTGGAATCTTTGGTCTAGCCTATATTTGAAGAAATTACGTTTTATTATTAATGACTTTATCTAATCGTTAGGATTACAAAGGCTGCAACCAGGGTCATCTCAACAACTCAGATAACTCTTAAGTGGGGCCATTGTGACATCAGAGGCTCAACCAGTCACCATTCTTTCTTTACAGTTAATTCTAGTGGTTGGAATGAGACGGTGATGTGAGGGAGACTGGACATATGAACCAAGAATCTTCACTGGTAGATTACTTGGCCCAACTGTCACTGCTGGGTTCCACTGTGTTCCGAGTCAGTGCTGGCCAGGCAAATGAGGCAGGAGTGCAGTGGAGCCTTTCAAGTGCAAAAACATTAGAACTTAAAAGACTTTCATATGGCATCAGTCTCACTAAAACAGCTCTCTCACCCAATAAGTCAACAGCAAGTTAAGGGCCAAATTCAGCAGTACAGTTTGGCTGCTTTACGCTGTTCTTATGGTGCAAATCGGCTATAAAGGCAACTGGGAAAGTGTGCTCTTTCTGGTTTGGCACTCTTTACCAAGTGGGTTGGGAATGGCTGCAGCATCTCTTCCTAATACATTTGAACTTGACTTCATTCTTGAGAGAAACAATTTGAAAAGTTTATTAAAAAGCAAATTCAATAGCACCATTAGATAATGTTCACTGGTCACGTGTGAGAGGTATCCATGGGCTACGGGGGTAGAAAGCCCTTAATTCCCCTCCAATAGAAATATCTACCAAGACTGAATCTGGTTCTTGAACCTTTAAAAAGCCCCAGGGTTTTCACTGCTTTTGTAAAAGGGGCTTAGAACCCTTTGGCTTCAGAAGAGAAGGCACAGCTCTAACTCTTTTCATATGGGGCACTTTAGAAACCAATCTCAAGGATATAAACTGGCTTCTTCACAGCTCTTTTTCCCTTGCCCTTTATTGGAGCAAGAGAACTGAACCACAGATCACAGGGGAAACCTTCTCTCTTCTTAGCCTCTACTTTCTTTCCAAAGTCGTTCACTTCATCTTATGGCAAGTTCGGAAGTCTCTCCTGTTACTCATTATGAAAGCCAGATGAAGGCAGCCACACTTATGTGCAATTTCGATGCATGGGACACTTGTCCTCATCATCCTACCATCAACACCTTAGGACACCCATACCCAGTGTCTGGATGCATCCAGGCCATCAGCACACCTTTACATTCTTTGCATTTTTCCTGGGAGAATCTGTGAAGAAGTACAAGCCCCTTTCGACAATTTAAACTGTGCCTTGTAGTTTCCACTGCTAGCTGTTGCCACTGAAGAATGGCAAATCCTTTTTCCTGTAAAGTGCCTCAGTTCATGGAATAGGGGTTCCAGACCCTTAATCTAGACAGTCACAGTCCTTGCCACATATGACTGTATCATCAGAGTCTTGTAGGAAGAGTAGGAAACAGATGCCCAAAGTTTCTGTGCTTTTTTTTTTTTTTTTTTTTTAATAAACTGCCTTATCAATAGCAGGGATAAAATGAGGAGACTGCGACCCCTCCTACATCAACTGGCGCAGAACAGGGTGCATGGGTAAAGCAATCCTTGAGTGGTTATCTTGTCAGATCCTGAAAGCTGCACAGGGTGACATCAAAGCGATATCTGGCTAGGAGACTATAAGAAACGTAACTTGTTGCAAAATGCAAAGATGCCAACTCAGTATGTAATAGTTTGCCCTATGAGACAGTAATGACCCATGGTGTTAGGATGTACGGTGGCCTGTCTGCCTCACTGTCTCAGGCATTTCTGAGGTGTCTATCACGATGATATCCAAGCAACATTGTTTATAAAAGACCTATTGCACATGGTCATTACAATACTCAGGAATTTTTCACAAAGGTAGGAAACATTATTCCTGGAGTCCTAGCCAAATCCCAATTTGGATATTTACATTCTGCCACTTAAAATTCCCCTGTAGTTTCAAATGAATAGTCTATGCTTCACTTCCTGTCCCTAAATATTGCAGGGTGTTGATTTTCCACTGCTAAACATCTGCATATTCAACCCCAGCATTTCAGTTGTAGGAACAATTATTCCTAGTAACAGCAAAATAGATAAATTATAAAATAAAGCACTTTTTTGATCTTTGAGACTGAAAGGCACATCTAGACCTAATGTTCAAGGTATTACAGAAAGTACACTACTTGATTGTCTCTTACTCTGAAAGAGTGCTAAATATGTTGAGCAGAAATCTAAAAAAATGTACCATGATTTCATTATAGTGATTTTTACCAATTGCAATGCTATATTAAGTAAATCAGACATTTCTCCCGTTACTTCGCATTTCAGATTAATACTTTTGGAGAAGTAATTACTGACCAGAAGCAGTCAACAATGGCTTAACCTCAATTACAAAATAATGTATGATCAACATTGTACCAGTAAGTAGAATGCACAACTCTGCCAGATGAGACAGGCATTGTGTAATCAGTTTGCAAAGCTTCTAAGTTACGTATAGGTATCACTCACTGAAAGAACAGAATGCTTTGATCTATTTTTCAAAAGGCGGCCTTCTCTTTCCTCCAGAGATCCAAGAATTAACAGATGGCTGCAATACCAAACCTCTCCAAGTTTTCAAACTGATGACAAAGTACCTCTAAAAATCTCAAGTAAATCATTAGTCCCAGCAAACTTTTGATTTGACTGGCAAACTTCAAAGTTACAGACAGTACATAATAATATTGGTAATATAAAGCCATTACACTGCACACATTCAAACACCTGGCATACTGAAGGTATTAGTTATAATTAATTTTAAAATGATTAGTAAATGCTAAATGTTACCTTAAGCCATTTTGAACTGAATATAGAAAATATAAATATTTAGGCCTGCAAGACATAAGCCTGAGGTCATATTTGCTTTTCAAATGTTTTTTGTTTGTTTCTGGGAAGGTTGTCCAATTTGCCAATCACAGAGAAGCAATTTGATAACTTAATTAAAGATATGTTGACCCATACAGCCATCTCAGTGCCTTATTGCTATACATGTGAAGCCTATGTACAAAATTTAATATTTGTTTCAATCAAGCGCGATGAACTATATTCTCAGGGCCAAATATCTCAAAATAAACAAAACAGACCGAAAGTTTATAATGTATTTCATACATGTACTAAAAAGAAAGTAGTCAAACTTCTAAGATATATAGCCGAAACAGACAAGCCTCCCTCAAAAAAGTACAGAATTCCAACCCGCAACCAAAAAGTAGCTTTGGGGAATCATCCCCCTAAGCGCCACATCTGGAATCATTTGAATAAAGAGGCAAATGATGCCACATACATTTAGAATGAATTCATAAAAGGACACAAGGCAGAAAGGGATCACCAAGATACAAGATGCTATGTGCGCAGTGGGCGTCCTGGGTCTCACGAATGCTAATTCTTCAAACACTTAGACCCTGCCCTATGATAGAAGGAATGGCCCTTGAGTAAGCTTCTTTATACCTTGCATCTACACTAGGCATCTGTCAGAATGGCATCTCAACATAGCTGCTGCCACTGCAGCAGTAGAGAAAACAGCTCTCTGTACAGACTAAACTCCAATCCAAGACATTAAAGAAAAAACTCTGGGACTTACATTGCTCAGCACAATATCAGTGTTGCTAACTCTAACATTTACATTACAAGTCTCACAATATTTGGTCTTTAAAGCCCAACCTCTTGGAGTCATGTGATTTCACGATGACAGGTTTCAGAATGATAGCCATGTTAGTCAGTATCAGCAAAAACAATGAGGAGTCCTTGTGGCACCTTAGAGATTAACAAATTTATTTGGCCATAAGCTTTCATGGGCTAAAACCCACTTCATCAGATGCATGGAGTGAAAAATACAGTAAGCCGTATATACATCACAAAATGGGCAAGTCCACCTTGATTGCATTGGCCTCGTTAGCACTACAAAAGTAATTTTCCCTCTCTTGATATTCACCCCTTCTTGCCAACTGTTGGGAATAGGCCACTTGCACCTTAACTGAATTGGCCTCGTTAGCACTGATCCACCCCCCCCCCCATTTGGTAAGGCAACTCCCGTTTTTTCATGTGCTGTGATATACATACTGCTTACTATATTTTTCACTCCATGCGTCTAATGAAGTGTGTTTTAGCCCACAAAAACTTATGCCTAAATAAATACGTGATTTCATGAGAATCTCAGCTTTTTTCCAGGAAAAAAGTAAGTGTATAGCCCTCATGGTTGCATAGGAAAGCTTTAAAATGTGAACCCTAAATGCTCAAAAATCAAAGATAAATAAAAAGAACACATAATTTTTTTAAAAAATTATTTTTAAGCCAATCTCATAACTTTGGGGAGCCTGACCCATGATTTTTCAAGGGTTGGGATTGGCAATACTGTAATCTAAAGCTCTGATAACATTTAAAACTGTACACCATATTGAAAAATACAGTTAAAATTGGCATTTCAAAACTACTAGTAAAGACACTTTACTGAAAAGTGATTATTTGTTATATCTAAATAGCTAGCAATCCAATTTTTATGCTGCCTTAATTTTAGGAACTTCAATGTAACTTTACTTTCCCCAGCCTGAAACATTTTATTTATATATTAACATTCATCACTTAATTATTAAACAAAGGGCTTAAAGTTATCTCAGGGTATTGCCAGTGTGTCAGAGTCCAGCAACAGATTTAATTAATTCATAACAAAATTTCTGGGCTCAGGCAACTTGAAAAAATACATCGATCATGTTATGGATTCTCTTGAGGGGGCATAAAAATGTTTTTTTAATAGAATCGGAATAGAAACCACCAGGATATGGTCTGAATTTGTCAGTCAAGCAATGCTGCTTGCCTACAGCCTGCTAAAACATTGGCCAGGGATAAGCTCAGATGAGCGGCTCTGCACAGCCTGGCAAACAAGCAAGACTATTAAATCCAACACTCCAAAAATCAGAACACAAATTAAAATAGACCGGTAGGGTTTATTTCTCAATTCAAATGTGCACATAACCTGTTTCTGGTGTACACACTCTAGTTCCTGTCCTTGCCCATTCATCATTTCGAGTAGCCTGAATAGACAGGCAACATCAAGGAAAATAATCTTGTGAATGGAGGAGAGGAATGGTGATTTTATGTTCAGTTTCGCCACTCCAAAAGTGCTTTATCACCACCAGTCATTCACTGGCAGCCAATTCCTTAGAGCTTTAATTTTTTGTGGGGTAAAATCAGTAAACTAATTCACTGTAATCTTTGGTTAAAACAAAATCAGAGAAGAATGGAAACAGATTAGCTTTTTTGTACTGCTGTCGTCACAGATGATTTCATTTCTCAAGAAGATGCCTGCGGACTTCAAAAACATGATCAACTTACGAATTTTAATTAAAACCATTTTGAAATACATTTCACAATTTAGATGTGGTGAGAAGTGCTTCGCAACATGTGAGCTTTCAGACTGCTGTGCTCAGCAAGTGGGTGCAGCTTCCTTTTAATGTACAATTTCCCAGGGCTAGACAATGCTAGTTACAGTTTTATTCCGCTCTCTGATGATGTCAGAAGTATGGAGCAAAGAACTAGATCCTGATGATCACCTCTTGATGATATCACAGGTGCTCAAAAAGCTGGTAGTGGTTAGGTATGTCACAATGTATAATCAGCTGTAGGGCAACAAAGGTATAAGCTCAGTTTGCACTAAAAGCATAATAAAGCCAAAAAGAAACTCTTGAGCTTTCCTCCAGTGGAAGGAGGATTTGGGCCTGCAGAGCTTCACTGTCTTTAACCTGCATTTGGGGAAGCTTTCTGGCCGCTGTTAGAATTTCCTGGCCCTGATGGATCAAAAGAGACTTTTGGTAGGGCTGGAAATCACAGCAAAGTTCCCTGAAGCTTCCTGGAGCATCTTAGCAATGGATGGATGATTATCATCGTATTCAAGTCCGAAGATGTACGAGATTTTATTTATTCGTTTGTTTAGTTTTGTTGGCTTTTTGTAAAGGAACCAGGGTGACCAGGTGTCTGGTTTTCAAACACCCGGTCGAAAAGGAATCCTGGCAGCTCCAGTAAGCACCGCTGACTGGGCTGTTGACTGTCTGGTTGGCGGTGCTGCACCACACAGCGAGACTGGCAGGCTCTCTGCTAGCCTCTGCACCTCCTGGGAAGCAGCCAGCATGTCCCCCCTCTGCCTCCTACGGTAAGGGGCAACCAGGGGGCTCCGCACGCTGCCTCTGCCCCAAGCGCTGCCCCTGCAGCTCCCAATCGGAGCTGCAGGGACGGCGCCTGCAGATGGGCAGCGCACAGAGACGCCTGGCGCACCTTCATGTAGGAGCCGGAGGGGAGACATGCCGCAGCTTCCAAGAGCTGCTTGAGCTAAGCGTCTCCTGCAGCCTGCATCCCTGACCGCCCCCTCCAGGGCCCCAACCCCCTGGCCCACCCAGCTCTGATCCCCCTTCTGCCCTCCGAATCCCTCAATCCCAGAACACCCTCCTGAAAGCCAAACCCCTCATCCCCAGTCCCACCCCAGAGCATGCATTCCTAGCCAGAGCCCTCACTCCCTCGTACCCCAACCCCCTGCCTCGGCCTGGAGTCCCCTCCCACACCCTGAACACCTTGGTTCCACCGCCCAGCCTGGAGCCCCCTCCTGCACCCCAAACCCCTCATCTCTGGCTCCACCCCAGACCCTGCACCCCCAGCTGGAGCCATCACCCCCTCTTCCATCCCAATCCACTGCCTCAGCCTGGAGCCCCCTCCCACCCTGTGAACTCATTTCTGGCCCCACCCGGAACCAGCACCCCCAGCCGTAGCCCTCACCATCTCCCACACCCCAGCCCCCTGAGCCAGCCCAGTGAAAATGAGCGAGTGAGTGAGGGTGGGGAGAGTGAGCAACAGAAGAAGGAGGGGATGGAGTGAGGGGGAGGGACCGGGCCTCTTAGAAGGGACGCGGCATGGCCAGGGCCTCAGAGGAGGGGCGGGGTAAGGGTGTTCGGTTTTGTGCAAGTAAAAAGTTGGCAACTCTAAAAGGGACTCACTAAGGAACCTTATCCTTTCAAAAGGTGCTTGAATGCCTGAACCATGTTGCCTCTGGAAGCAGTGTCTGGATCTGGAGACTAGAGCCAAATTGTTCCTTGGAGCGAAAATGTGTTGCAGAGAAGAGTCTTGGCAGAGAATCTGGTGATGTCACAAGAGGCTCAAAAGGGAGAAGAAGATACATATAGTCATGTGTGTTACCGTCACCACCTCCTGGGTAGGGGGAGACTGAATTGCTGATTTGGCTATCTTGAAAGGGAGTTGTAGGCTCCATAACTTGCAAAATTTCAGTAGGATACAGGCAACCTGAATCACCTGATTCAAAGAGCTCAGGGCAGGAAGATAATTCCACTTCATAAGCACAGGATTGGGGTGAATACAAGTTATGTCTAGGGAAATCCTCAGAAGAGAATGATTTGCTTTTTTGGCAGTGGTGTGTACAGCTCTTGCTCCAAAGGTTCCAAAAGGGATGAGAGTCCAATACTTGGTGCTTCGAATGGGATGAAGGGAGGAAGGGACTAACATCTGGGGATTTAGCAGTATGAAGCCTTCCTTAAAGTGCTCCCCCTAAGACTTTCTCCTTGCTAGACAGAAACTAAGGTGGAGGGAAAGAACAGGGCCACACAAATTCTCAGAACAGACTGCAGAGAAAATCTCTGTCTGTGAGCACTGAAGCAAATAACTGGGGAGTGACATCAGAGCAGCGCGTTTCAGAGTGGTAGCCGTGTTAGTCTGTATCAGCAAAAAGAATGAGGAGTACTTGTGGCAGCAGATCATCAGGCACACCTGTAGAGGGTGCTGACAAGCAGAGAGCACTAGGGATTGTGGGAGAGCAGGAAAGAGAAAATGAACAACTTCTTACATGCCTCTGATACTTGGAAAGGATGGGGAAACCCAGAAGTTCCAAGTCTGATGGAGCAGCAGAATCTCATCATTGAGAAATTCAAACTCAGTGCTGACACACACAGCTGTTAATGCACACAATTATTAAAATGCTCCACACAACCTGACAGGCTCAAAAATCAACTATTTTCATACGACACAATACAATGAAAGAATGTTTCTATATAAAGCTCCTCACTCCACTTTTTTTTTTTTAAATTTTCTTCCTACAATCCCTACTATATGTAAAGTTTAGAACTGGTCTCCCAAGAACCACCCTGTGAGGTATACTCTTGAAAAAGTGGCAAAAAATGCACTAGAAAGAACAAGTTTATTTCAGTTGCCAACCAATGCAATTCTGTAGGAGGCAGTTTTGTAGCCTACAAATGGAAAGAAGACATCAGGGCAGGAGCGCAAGCAATTGCAAAACACAAGTTCTTCCTCAGGGCAAAGGCTCCAAATATCAGTTCAATTTCATCATTGTAAAGGATGTATGAGGTCTCTGCCTGTGTCAAAATGGATCCACGTAAACAAAAACTGCAAGATCACATTTGTGTCAGATTAGGGACGGATATCCTGAGCTCACAAGCTCCATGAACCCTTTCCTTCTCAAGTGCGACAGTTAACTTTCTGACAATCTGTGAAGCCACTGATGACAGGCCAAAAATGGATGAGCAGAAATGATAGTCTCTTCAGCAACTCATATTCACTATGGTTTGTTTTTATTCTCACGAACGGGCTTAATAACAAAAAGAATGGACAGACAAGTAAAGGGCGAGTAAAGGCATGAATAAAACACCCTAAAACTATTCCCACATGTATTTTATTTTACTTTTACTGGAAACAAGAAAAAGGTATTTCTAATATGACTCTGTTAGAAAAAAAAAAAAGGAAGGATTTTTCTTGGAAATATGTTCAATCACAACTTCTAGACCCTAGGTGATTAATACATTTACAACAAAGACTAAATCAATTTTTTGGGTTTTTTATTTACCAGTAGTTTAAATATGTTCATTTACCATGTTCCTCAAGCTCAATGCTTAACGTAATGGACATAAGTACTTTTCTTAATGAAAAAGGCATCCAAAGGCAAAAGCAACCCTTCTCCTGCATCCACTCCAGACCATCTGCAATAAACTTTTCATCTTAAGAAACCGAACTGATGAGGGATGGATGGTCTTGTGGTCACAGCACTGGAGTGGACTCAGGAGAGCTGAGTTCAATTCTCTGTTCTGTCACAGACTTCCTGTGTGACCTTGGAAAGTCACTTAATCTCTGTGCTTCAGTCCCCATCTGTAAAACAAAGGAAACAATAATGCCTACTAAAAAGGGCTGTGCAAGGATAAATTAGTTAAGTGTTTGAGAGGGTCTCAGATAGTATGGTAATGGATGTCATTATACCCAGATATGTAGAACTGAGAATCTTAACAATTTTCACTTCTTCTTCCATGAACCCAGCTGACATTTCAAAAGATGTGTGTGAAACCCACTAGTTTTCTATTATTAAAACTAAACTGACCTCCTAATTTATTTATTTTTTAAACATGAACAACTCTACATTCCCTTCTCTCCCCAGCACCGGAGTCAGATTCAGGGCTTCACATCCAAGAATAAAATTGTTCATTGAAGTCCCTAGCAACTTTTAAACAACAAAATTAGCATTAAAAGTGGTCTCTGGGCTAGAGAACATTGTTGAAAAGGTAGCTGAAAGGAAAAAAAGGGGCCAGGAAACAAAAACAAAGAAACAAAAAAGTAAAATAATAATTTTATGAAGATATAAATAGTAGTTAAAGATACTTTTGAGCCTTTTCAATACCATTCTCTTATATTTGTAGTCATGAAATATTTTTATAGACTTGCATAAAACACTTTCCAAATTGCATTTTAATATTAATTAGTCAAATTTTAAAAATAAAAAGCCAAGATTTCCAGGGTATGCATTAATATTTTAATAGAACATTTCCTAGGAAACTAAAGGTAAAAGGCAAAGCATACCCAAGGTGTTTTACTAACTGCCTACTAATAATACACAACCTTTTTTATTTTACACACACACACACACACACACACTAATCATGTGGATATACAAGGTATATTCTACAATACCTCAGATTAAATTAGAATCACTACAAAATTGCTTAACTGCAATAAAAATGATATTTAAAAATTAGGTAGAAAGCTACCATCTCTTTTGATGTATGTTATGAAAAAGGATATAGATCTTACATCTTGGCATCATGGGAAAGACACTTTCAAAGTTCTTTTAAGGTGAAGATGAGGTAAAGCAAAAAGTAAGGTAAGGTAATGAGCCAGTCCCTCAAATGAGGAGGAAAAGGAGTTCTGAAACAAGTAATGCACACAGGCTCATATGTCCTGGACACATTTCACAGCAGCTGCAGGGAATTGGGCTAGATTATTCTTCTGCCCCACCAGTACAACGGGAGGGAGAGAATCACAGGAAACAAACTGCTCCATGTCCCCAGACATGCAGCTAGTTCAGGAAGACTTTGACTCCTCAACTAGACCGTGAGAAATGCCCCACCTGCCCTAGAACACACTTCCTTCCCCTTGTCTTATGAAGTTACCTACCGCAGAAGGCAATTCTTTATGAAAAAAGAAACACCACATGCAGTCCATGTTCCAGTATAAAGTATCTGCAGATGTGAAATCCTTATGCCAAAATAATTTAGCAGATTAAAGATACATTGATTACACATGCACAGACTTGTAACTTTAAACCCTTATAACTTTAAAAATACTAGTTTTGTTTTATATACTTTTCTCAGTTAACTTTCCTCCTCGAACACTGTGATCATGCCAAGTTTACAGTTTTTTGGTTCTACTGGGGTTTTTTGTTTGCTTTAGTTTTTGCGGGGGGTTGGGTTGTTACATTTTTTAAGCACCAAAAAGATTTTTTTTTAAACTTTCCATTTTAATAATGGAAGAACTGTTTTAATTTGTTTTAATTTATCTTTCAACCCGGAAAGTTTTCAGAAAATTATGAGAGAACAAAATATGTGGTTTTCTTTCAAAAATTGCGTATTACAGAAATGATACACTTTAAATAAAATTATTAAATTAAGCAGCACTGTACATTACTCAACAAGTAAAGTACTACTCAACATGAGTAAGGGCAGCTTTTAGCTGCAAAAAAATCAGTGGAAGGAGCAGCATGAGCTATAATCTTAGCTGAACAAAGGGTGCTAAAACAGCAGTTGCTACTTGGAAAGGAGAATCAAAGTTTAGGTGAGGGAAATCATTTCAGAATGAAGAGATAAGCAAAAGTTCATGGTTAGTAGCTAGAAAAGTAGGCTGGAATTAGCAGATGAGAAAGAACATTTAAGAAGAGACTCCAGAAAAATTGCTTCAGTCTGCTTTAAAATGGATTAGATTAAACTAGACAAGCAGTATTTGTGCACAGCTAAAGAAGAATGAATGAAAAAGAAAAAGAAAACAGCAGCACCTAGTTGAGAGAAAAATTTGATTTTCTAAAACTTTAACACTTTGAAATATACAAATTATGTGAGCAAATGTATATTTAAGAACTGTTCAAGTATTTAAGAGGTTGTGACAGGGTAAACTAGCTGTAAAACATCTTAAACATAAAGACTACAGTAAAACCAGTGACAAAAATCTTATTACAATGCTAAGCTTACCACTTTGACTCATGGTGGCTAAGATTAGGGGGTTCAGGCTGGGTTTAAGTAGGGTTGCCAACTTTCTAATCGCACAAAACCAAATACCCTTGCCCCGCCCTGCCCCTGTCCCCCCTTCTCCAAGGCCCCACCCCTGCCCCATCTCTTCTCCGAGGCCCCTTCCCCCACTCACTCCATTGTCCCTCTGTCCGTCGCTCGCTCTCCCACACCCTCACTCACTTTCATTGAGCTGGGGTAGGGGGTTAGGGTGAGGGACGGGGTGTGGGCTCTCGGGTGAGACCAGGGATGAGGGGTTTCAGGCATAGGAGGGGGTTCAGGGCTGGGACAGGAGGTTGGGGTGTGGGAGGGGGGTGCAGGCTCCGGGAGGAAGTTTGGGTGCGAGAGGGGGCTCAGGGGTGAGGCAGGGGGTTGGGGTGCGAGCTCTGGGAGGGGGCTCAGGGCTGGGGCAGGGGGTTAGGATGTGGGAGGGGTGTGGGATGAGTGCTGTGGGAGAGAGTTTGGGTACAGGAGGGGACTCTAGGCTGCAACAGGGGGCTGAGGTGTTGGAGGGGATTCAAGGTGCAGGTTCCAGCCGGGCGGTGCTTACCTTAGGCGGTTACTGGTCGGCGGTGCAGCGGAGCTAAGGCAGGCTCACAGTCTGCCTTGGCTCCTCGCAGCTCCTGGAAGCGACCAGCATGTCCCTTCAGCCCCTACACGGAGGGGGCAGTGGGCTCTGCGCGCTGCCCCGCCCCAGCGCCGCCCCCGCAGCTCCCATTGGCCGCACTTCCCAGGCAATGGGAGCTGCGGTACCGGGACTCAGAGCAGGGGCAGCACATGGAGCCCCCATGGCTGCCCCTGCACCTAGGAGCTGGACTTGCTGGCCGCTTCTGAGAGCCACGCAGAGCCAGGGCAGGCAGGGAGCCTGCCTGATCCCCGCTGCACCACCGACTGGACTTTTAGCAGCCCGGTCAGCATTGCTGACAAGAGCCACCAGGTCGAAAACCAGATGCCTGGCAACCCTTGGCTTAAGTGACATCACCCACTTTAAAAAAAACTGAGTTTTATGCTAACTTCCCTAACAGCTCTTAGAAAACATTATCTAGAGTAAAAAGGCTGAAATACTGGGAGCAAATTGCTCTCATACAGGTACTGAATAGCACCTCAGTGAGGTTTAAAAAAAACACCTATGTAACTATCATATTCCAGAGTGCAATCCAGAGGGGTTGCATCACCACTTGCTCTGCAACCTTGGTGCCTCACAATGGTTTGCTGTTGTAACTCCCGACTTGGGTAGTTCACAACCAGCCTAACAGCATGCAGGTCACACCCTGTGTGCAGTGTCTGTATATAGCTACAGTCCTGATCCAGCAACTACGATCCCAGGAGCATGTCAGGAACACACCAGCCACACTCTGTCTTCCAGCAGAGTTGGTTACTATCTGTCGGGTGACCCCAAGACACTCCCTGTCCCAAATTTCCCCCAAAACGTGTATTTCTGCACAGTACAGCCCTCTCCTGGGCAGTTCAGATATTAGAGGTCCATTGGCCCTGTAAGGAGTCAATATACAACAGTTTGCTACTTTAACTGAAGTTACCCAAACAGTTCATTTTAAACACAACATTGGATTAGTTTTGATTAAAGAATAAAACAAGTTTATTTAACTACTAAGAGACAGATTTTAAGTGAGTACAAGTATAAGGTATTAAAGCCAGAAATGTTTACAAGAGTAACTAAAACTTAACAAGCTAGACTTGGTTCAGTAAAATCCCTACCACATGTTCCCAGCAACAGGGCTGACTAAATTCCCCGGTCAGCAACCCTCCCAAAGGGCTGGTTCCTTTGTCTTGCGAAAGAAAGAAAGAAAGAAAGAAAGAAAGAAAGAAAGAAAGAAAGAAAGAAAGAAAGAAAGAAAGAAAGAATACCTGGGGTGTTTTTGCCCCTCACTTTTATAGGTCCGTCACCCTTTGAAATGCATTTTCCTTCCTCCTGTGAGTACAGAGACATGGAGTCTTGTGGTGATAGAGGTTCCATGTTGTAGTTTGTTAAAATACAGATCCATCTGTTCTTGCCCCCTTCGTTGCCAAAGAATGGCCATTTGACCAGTGATTGCCAATCAGCTTTGATGACACCCGGCTAGAGGCATCAGCTTGTCCTTTGTCTTTGAGAAACAGGTTTACTCCCTCCCCAGACTTGTCTGGTAAACACGTCAGTCATAATTTCAGCTTATGTCATAACTTTACATACAATGTTGCTACACACATTTCACCATGATATTACTGACCAGTGAGTTATTAGTTTTCAAATGATACCTCACAAGGCAAATGTTGTACAAAGATTATTACAATATGTGTAGGGTCTGAAGGTAGGGGTGCTATGGGTCACAGAAAAGTAAAAAGAACAAAAGAATGGTAAAATTATAAACATTAAAGCAGAAAGTCAGATCTTCAAATGTTGCTATTAAGAATGATTTTGAGAGAGACTCCTGGTCTAATATGCTGAGTTCAGTACTGGAAGCCCAGAATTCTTGAGTACTAATCCCACGTATATCCTTAGCCCCATTCTATGGCTTGGGACAAGTCACTTTGTTACACCTTTTTAAGGCAGCCACTAATCTTGCATGCCTCCGATGCTTGTCATCTATCCTGAGCACCTAGGGA